AGCCACCAAAAAGGAATCTTCGCAGGGTGCTGATTCTCTTTGTCCACTGAACCTCCACTGTCAGAACTTGCACTGTTTTTAAAATTTATTTTTACTTTTCGATTACAGTTGATATTCAATGTTATGTTTCCAGTGTATAGCATAGTGGTTAGACATTTTTATAACTTATGACGTGACACCCCTGATAAGTCTAGTACCCACCTGGCACGACACATGGTTATTATAGTTTTGACTACATTCCTTCTGCCGCGCTTCACTTCCCCGTGACTTTTTTGTAACTACCAACTTGTTCTTTTTAATCTCTTCCTGTTATTACCCATTCCCCCCAATTTCCCCTCCCATCTGGCAACCAAGATAAAGCGCATGTTCTCTTTATCTATGAATCTGTTCCTGTTTTAGCTTGATCATTTACTTTGTTCTTTCGCTTCTACACATAAGTGAGATCATATGGCATTTGTCTTTGTCTGACTTATTTCACTAGCATAATACCCTCTAGGTCCACCCATGTTGTCACGTGTAGCAAGAGTTCATTCGTTTTCATGGCTGAGTAATATTCCATTGTGTATATGTACCAAATCTTCTTTATCCAGCTGTCCATCAATAGATACTTAGGTCGCTTCCATATCTTGGCTACATAAATAATGCCGCAGTGAACATAAAGGTGCATGTATCTTCTCGAATCAGTGTTTTGGGTTTCTCCAGATAAATCGGGATTGCTGGATCCTATGGTGGTTCTATTGTTAATTTTTCGAGGAAACTCCACGCTGTTTTTCGTAGTGGCTGCACCAATTTTGCACTTCCTTGTTCCTTTTTTATTTTTTTAAGCTTTTTAGTTTGAAAATTTACAAACCAACCCAAGAGTTGAAAGAATAGTACTGTGAATAGTATGTCCTTCCTTAAACGTCAACATTTCACATTTGCCTTCTCTCTCATGATATAGGCTTTTTCCTCTGAACCACCAGAAAATTGCAAACAACACTGTTTCTCCCCTAAGTACCTCACCATTATCACATGCAAGAAATTTAACACCACTATCACATGCAAGAAATTTAATACCATTTCAGTTGTATCATCCAGTATACCATCTATATTTAAATTTCCTCTCTTGTCGCAAAATGTCGTAAACACACACACCTTTTTTTTAATTCAGGATCTCCCCGAGAGTCATTTGTCACATTGGATTTCATGCTTCTTTACAGAAACTCCTTTAGTTACTACTCTGCTACCAGGACTTTCACTTAAAAATAAAATCTTGCATAACTTTGGCATATTTGAAAAGCCCAGGCCAATCATTTTTGTGGACTGTGTCAGTCTGGATCTATCGAATTGTTTCCTCATGATTAGACTCAGGTTAAACTTTTTAGTAAGAGAAGTAGAAGGTGACGTCGTATACTTCCACCGGGAGGCACGGTTTTGTCCCAGTACCCATGATGCCATGGTCAAGGTGTGGTCCGGCGATCTCCCACAGAGACACCTACCTCTCTCCCTCTGCAACAGGTAACATCTGCAGCGATAGGGCTGAAACTAGTATTTTCACCCGGCCGGAGGAGCACACACTGACGAACACGTACCGCATCAGTTAGAAAGGAATTCTCTAGTTCTGCCATCCCTTCTATGTGTGTTAGCGGTCATTCCTGTCCAAAGGAGAGCGCCCTCCCCCTTGGCCTCCTTTTCTCTCTTTTCCTTTTCTCCTCATCCTCGTCCCCTTCACGACTCCGTTCCCCTCTCCTCCTTCCTGAATAAGGGTGTGGACTCCTAGATTCTATTTAATTCAGTTATTATAATCAAATACCATTATTATTTTGGATGCTTAACTTGCCTGTATTTGGCCAGTGGAAGCCTTCTGCCTGGTTTCTTTGTCTTTACATATATCCTTTCAATCTTTGAGTACTTCTTTGCTTTATGACCCAAGACCTACTAGCTCTCACTGTACTTTCGAGAAACCCTAGTTCCTTTTCGTAGGAAACAGCCTTAGAAAATTAGATCTGAGTACTTGCTGTGCTCATTACTACTGGGGTAGCATTTCTTACAGGCCCTTTCAATGGACGAAGCATATATATACTCACATTGATATAGATATAAAACAGTCAGCAGTACACGCTTCGCCCACTGTATGTAAATCATAAGTTCATACTGATGCCTCCAATGGGAAATCCAGCAACATAGGGTTTATCCTAAGCATCCGCTTTCTGCATTTGCATTTTCCTTCTTCCTCGGTGAAAACCCCATTTCATGTCAGCATCAACAGATTTATCCTACAGCACACACAAAGCAGTCGAGACTTACACCTCAGGACTTCCACCAGCAACAAACCTTCTGAGTTCGAGATATCTTTGCGGTTCTTCTTGTCTTTATGATATGTGGGGGAGGAAGAAACTTTCTTCTACCCTTGGGGTTCTTTGGGCTGGTTTCATAGACATGAGACAGATCAGCAAGAGAAAATGGCCAAATTCAACTGCATACACGTGTATGAGAACCACACATCCGTGAGAGTGCCAGAGACCCCACCCGCGGGAGGGTCAGAGCCCCCCACACGTGGGAGAGGTTCCAAGTCAGGGAAAATGACGTGAGGTCCATCTGGCATTCTGAGCTCTGGCTGCGGTAATGTGCCTTGGACTTCAAAGCAGGTAAAAGGTCGTTGCAGGACAAAGAAGCGCAGATGGTAACTGGAAGTTTGCCTCACCCTTTGCATAGGTCATAAAGGTCATCTCTGATAATCTCTTACTAGGGCAAGGTCCCTAAGTCCAGTCCATTTAGGTAGTTAAGTGCGGGGAGGGCAGAAATTTCTCTCGAGTCACCAGGGTCTTCGTTGCCTTTTGCTCAAAACAATCCACACACCACAGCAGGGCATCTTGGGGTGACTCGTTCTGAACCCCACAGGTACAACCTTCTAAACAGTGTGCAGTTAGAGCGCTGGGTTCAAAGCTACTTAAATGAATCGGCTTTTCAATATAATTGTTATTAATTTAGTATTTTTATTTGCATCAATTTTAGAGTTCGCTTTTTTCATCCTTTTTATTCAATTACACTTTTTGCATGCGTAAAGCAGTCACACGGTGCAAAATAAAATCTTACAAACGTTGTACGCAAAAGAGTCGCACTCGCCTCCTGTCCCCTGTACTGTCCCCACTCACCGCTGGCCATGAACCATTTCCAATAGTTTCCAGTTTATTCTTCCATCCTCCCAAAGTAAGAATATATATCTACATATTTGTTAGTTATCTGTTGCTGTATAACTAAGCTTAGCAGCTTCGAGTGACAAACATTTATTACCTCCTGGCTCCTGGGCCGGAAGTCCAGAGGGGCCGGGCAGGTACCTCTGGCAAGGATGCAATCAAGGTGCACTTGGAGCCCCCACAGTCACCTCGAGGCTCATCTGGTGGGGACGGGGAGGACTCGCTCCCAAGCTCCGTCAACCTGGCTGTTGGCCTCGGAAGATCGTCTTTCAGGCTCACTCGTGTGGCTGCTGGCCGACCTCAGGTCCTGGTTGGCTGTCAGGCGGAATATCCGTTTCCTGGGGCTGCCGTAACGAGTCACCACAAACTGGACAGCTTTAGAAGAACAGGAATTTATTCCTTCACAGTTCTGAGGACTATAAAGTCCAGAGTCAGGATGTCCACAGGGCCCTGTCCTTTCCACGGGTGCTGGGGGGACCCTTCCCTGCCTTTCTCCCGGCTGCTGGCAGTGGCAGCTCTCCTCGGCGTCCTTGGCTCATGACTGCGTAACTCCAGCTTCTGCATCTGCCTTCACATGGCGTTCTGCCCTCTGCATGCATCTCTGTGTCCTAATTATAAGGACACCGGTCATTGGATCAGGGCCCACCCTGACCCAGCATGACCACATCTGAACTTGATTGCATCTGCAATGACCCTATCACCAAAAAAAGGCCACATTCAGAAGTCCAAGGTGGGTTAGGACTTCAACACACATCTTCGGGACTCACAGTTCAACCTTCAAGGCTAGAGATGCCAGTTTCTCACACTGTGGCCTCTCCGTAAAACCGCTCATAACGTGGCAGTTTATTTTGCCCTACAGAGGGGGTGCAGGGGGTGGAGGAGGAAGAGAACAGAGAGAGAAAGAGAGAGAGAGAGACAGATTCCAAGATGGGAGCCACAGTCTCTCTGTAACCTAATTTACGACGACATCCCACTACATTTGCTGTAATTCTATTTGCTAGAAACGAGTCAATAAGTCCAGCCCACACTCGGGGGCAAAGTTTACACAGGAGCATGAAAAACAAGAGGCAAGTTTGCTCTCTATCACTATATATATTTTTTTTCTTACCTCTCCTTTCTCACATGAAAGGCAGCGTATTTAAATTCCACCTTGCTTTTTTCACATAACTATATATAACATGTCCT